CCCAAAAACATCATACCAACAGTGAAGTTTGGAGGTGGGAACATCATGGTGTGGGGCTGTTTTTCAGCATTATTACAAATAACTTCATTTCTGGACATTTATGGTTTGATTTCTTTGTATGTATGGATCACTTGGGTTGTTACCAACATCTGGTGAAAATTTCATGTCATTAGCACCTCTAGTAATATATTTACTGAGAAAAATGTTGATGTGTTCAATACTTATTTTACCTGCTGTACAAGGAATTTGCTTTGGGGTTCCCATGCTCACAAACATTTTAATGTACAATTTAACTAAATCATTGAGCACAATAACTTCTGATCTCAGACTACCGTCACATGTTGTCATTAAATTCTTATTTCTCAGTTCTAATAAAAGTTGATAGTGCAACGTGTGAAAACTCCTAAATACATAAATATTAGAATATATTTATTCCATTAAGCACATCACTATTTTGTTACTGACAAAATGGCAAAATGACACTGTCACAATGCATTCTGGGGTTGGTGATGATGATGATGATGATGTTGGGATGCTGTTAAGATTAAAACACAAAGCGTCAAGGCTAAATAGCTAAGCGACAAAGTTATGTTTTGTATTAGTTTCCATATTAGTTTCTATGATGTTCTGCCCAATTTTTCAGTTGAAACAATATAATATGATGTTTAGTTCATTAGCTTGGGAACTAATGCTCTATTTATTTGCACTGGAGCTTACGCCATATATATTAGCTTGGGAGCTAACAACATTTATGAGCCCAGGAAATAATGCTACATTTATTAGCTCAGGAATTAATGCTAATTTATTATTTTGGGAGCTTACGCCTCTGTTAGTGTGCCCCAGGGCAGCTTTGGCTACATTGTAGCTTCCCATCGTCAGTGTGTGAGTGGGTGAATGTTTGTAGTGTAAAGGGCTTTGGGGTCTGATGGAGCTTGATAAAGCACTACATAGGTTCAGTCCATTTACCATTTTACRCCATATTAGCTCATGAGCTACTGCTTGAGTTTTAAGTTTGGGAGCTAATTCGAAACCTGAAAGGCTACAGCTGAGGTGAGCCTTCCATGAACCGCTCTGCTGTCCTTCATTCATGGACATTAGCGTTTAGATCAACGTGCCCACTGATGTGATGGATGTGAACTCATTGGCAGTAAGGAGAGTTCCAGATGGGGACATGGTGTTGATGTCACATCAGAACACCAGCTATCATTGATGTAAAACCAGATGCTACCACTTGGGGTCAGATGTAAAGACCCCATTTTCCTGACATAAAGCAACTCAGGCTGTAAACTTCCTTCGAGCTCACCTTGGAGTCATACGCCGACTGTTTGATCACCTCCGGGGCCATCCAGAAAGGCGTTCCCACGAAGGTGTTCCGTTTGATTTGAGTGTCTGTGAGCTGGCCCGCCACACCGAAGTCTGCCAGCTTCACCTCTCCTTGCTCAGACAGCAGCACGTTGGCAGCTAGCGGGGTGAGGAAACACACGTCCGGTTAATGTGATTCAGAAAAAACTCTCCATCTTCAAAAAAACCGCAGTCAGAACCACTTATCTGTATTATTGATTAAACAGTCAAACACACTTTTCTGCTGAAATACAAACTGTATAATAAGTGAAGCATTAAGTGGACGTCAATACCATTAACCTGTTACATGATATTAATGTTTCAGACCTTTGATGTCTCTGTGGATCTTCTTCTCTGAGTGCAAGTACTCCAGACCCTTCAGGATTTCTCTAAGAATCGTGGCAATCTGGGTCTCGTCCAACGCTCCAGGTTCCATCTTTGACATAAAAAAAAATTAAAGTCATAAGCTGCAACTGCCAGCTAACATTAAAAATTGTGGAGTTTATTAAAACCCAATAAACTCTGTTCAAACCTTCAGTGTAAACTCAGAGATACCACTTACCAGGTCTAAGGCGGAGCCTCCACCTAAATACTCCATAATGATCCATAGCTTTGTGTCCTGAAACAGAAAAACAAACACTAAATGTCTGGTGCCATTTGTACTGTTGGAAAGTCTGTTTAGTTCCCCTGAAATGGTCCCATGGTTGTAAAGAAAATGCTTTAATATTAGTCCTGACCTCAACCCTATTGAGCACCTGTGGGATCAGCTCAGGTGTGCCGTTTGTTCCAGAGTGACCAACAGAAAGACAATGATTTACAACAAGTACTGGTTGAAGAATGGGACACCATCAAACAGCAGTGTGTGACCAAACTGCTGAGCAGAATGAGCAGCAGCAGCCAGGCTGTTGTGAATGTGTACAGTATGATCTTCTTCAGCTTTAGCCTTTTATCTTTCGTGTTAGCTCCAGGGCTAATATAGCAGGTGTTAGCTCTAGAGTCAATAAATGACAGCTCTAAAGCCATTTATGGCCTTAGCTCCTACATATAAGGATATGTATGGTATTAGCTCTCAAATTAATAAAAACAACATTAGTCACTTAGCTAATATACTATATACACGGTGTTTGCTCCCAAACATATATAGCTTTAGCTCCAGAGCTAATAAATATACCATTAGTTCAAGAGCTAATAAATTTGGCACTAGCTCCAGAGATAATAACTACCACATTTACTTCAGAGAAAACAAATACAACATTAGCCCCAGAGTTAATAAATACAGCATTAGCTCTTTACACACACACACACACACACACACACACACACACACACACACACACACACACACACACACACACACACACAC